GATATGGGGGTAGTATGGTTGTGATGGAGCTGGGAGGATAGAGAGGCTGCAGGTGGGGGTCTGTGCTGGGACAGTGGGAAATGAGGCTGGCTAGAGTAAAATTGAGGGGTTGGTTGGTCGGGTAGCACAGTACAGGGTTTGGTCAAGAGTATTGTGGTTTAGGGTGAGTAGGGGAAGTTTATTCACTTTATGACATCCAGTTAAAATTTGTTTTCCCAGGTTTCTGGGGCTTGAACCAGATTTAGAAAGTTGGTGTTAAACTCCTAAATCTGAGCCCAGCCTTTGTTGCTGCTGTCCAGGGCCTAATGGAAGGATTACATTTACATTTTATAAAACATATATCAGAAAGAAAGTTTGGTTGTCAGTAAAAGTTTGCAGATTGTCAGTAAGAATATTTCTTGGGTTGGCAACCCTGTAGCTAGGGATTATCTGTACTGCACCACTATGCATTGTAGACATACACAGCACTTCTTTGTGGTTTCATCCTGGAAGGTCCTGAGGACTTTGGCCCTGATCCAGTGCAAGAAGGCCCATAAAAGTGGGCTTGCTCCAGGGCCAGATCCTGAGTATCTTTCAGGATGGAGACCTAATTGGATACTTGTAGCAGATACTTCGTATTATGGAAATGACAAGATGGCAACTGGAATGGGTTACGTAGAGAGGTGGTGGAATCTCAATCCTTGTAGGTTTTTAAGGTCTGGCTCCACAAAATCCTGGCTGGAATGATCTAGTTGGGGATGGTCCTGCTCTGAGCAGAGGGTTGGACTCACTAGGTGACCTCCTGAGGTTCCTTCCAACCTTAATTTTCTAGTATAGTAGAAAATAGTACAGTAACTGAGATTTTCCCCAAATACTGAGTAGTAGTAGAAAAGGTCTGAAATCCTGATTTTAAAAATATCAGCCTTACATACCTTTGTATATAGCAATTTACACATGCACACACAACTGTAAGCATTGAGCTAAAAAGGGCAACTCACGCTTAAAACTAAACCCTTATATAAATGTTTTAAGTTTGCATTATGGGTCATTGTGTACCTGCCTTGGGCCTGACCCTCACTCCTACCAGGATACCTATGAAATTAATGGGATTTTTACTTAAATTGAGTTACAGACCAGTAAAGAAAAAATTATTCTTGATGCAAAGGTATTTGTTTCGTTGCTTTTAGTATTTGCAGTGAAACCCTCATTTTATTTTGTATCGTGATTCCCACTGACACCCAATATAAGATGGCATTTTCCCCTCCCATGAAAAGTGAAACTATACGTATGTTTATACCATGTCCCCACTGCTGTTGGGGAGATGCACTGTTAAGCTTACACACCTACCGATTGCCTCTCAGTTGCATTCACCAGACTTGCTGTCACTGGTTATAATGTAAAGCTACTCTAGGAATGTTCTTGGGGGCCACTTTCAAGCACAGGGCAGACAGAAATCTCAAGAGGGGTGATGCCCCTGAAGGGGATTCAACTCTGCATTTCTGAGTGTGGGATTTGTGAATGGGAGAAGATGAGCTGGAGCTGAGAGCTCTGGAAATGTAGTGTAGACCTACCCTATAACTCCTGGCAATTAAGAACTTCAGATTGAGGTCCCAGTTTTACAAGATTTTCTGCGGGGTAAAGCTGGGATGCCTGCCCAAACTGATTACTTTGTAAGATCGGGACATGCTATTTAAATATTTAAAAACGAGTACTGCTGAAAGATATGGAACAGGAGCAAATTATGAGCATGCCACACCAATGCTTTGTTTTTTAAAAATAAACTGGTAGCTAAACGTTAATACATTTCCTTTTTCCTGCTCCTACTCATTTTGTTTTATAGTCTGTGTTTCACATTAGGAGATTGATGGCTGAAAGAAAATCTTAGGACATTGAGGAGATGGTATATAGGGCAACTAGGATTTACTGCTAAGCATGTTCAGCCTGGAGAAGTCAGTCTGGTTGAAGGATAAGTATCTGTGAACAGTAATCACTGGTCACTATTTTATAAAGAAGTGAACAGAGATGTAGCTAAAGAGAAAATTCTTAGTTGGAGAGAACATGATAAGGCCAGGGAAACCTGATGGAATTTATATATACAATAATCAGAAACCTCGTCATATTTACAGATTTATTTTATAATCAGAAAAAACCCTCATGTCTTCTATTTACAGATTTATTTTGCCCACACAGCCTTGAAGTGGATAGAACGGGCTAATCTGGATGGCTCATATCGTGAAAAAGTTATGTGTGAAGCGATAGATATACCTGAAGGGCTTGCTGTGGACTGGATTAACCGTAAATTGTATTGGACTGATAGAGGGTATGATCTTTTTGCTGCACTGTTAGATTTCAAATAAAATGTCATAATATATATGGACTAACTGATCTGTGAATAACAACAGTGATTGTTTAATGTTTTTTTTTAGATATAGAAACTGAAAGTCTGTGCCCTCTGAAAAATCGATGCCCAGGTGCTGGGAGCATATAAAAAAAAAGTACTTTGTGGCTGTGTTTACACATGTGGTGGACTGTGCAGTTATTACTGTGCAGTCATTTAGTACTTGCTTAGGCTATTCAGCATAATGGGGAAAAAAGCTTGATTTTGCTTATGCGAGTACTAAATGCAATGACCTACTGCACAGTAACGTTACATCATGGTTAGTGCCTGGCAATGCTACTGCACAGTAGCAATGAGCTACAACGCAGTAGCAGTAGTCCTGTGAGTGTGATATTGAATGGCTTATACAGGCAAAATCCACACTGATTTCAGTGGGTGTTTTGTCTTTGTGAGGAGGGCCCAGTTGTACTGAATATGTGCTGTGTGTACACATCCTGGGTTTGAGTTATGATTCATGTAGGGCACATCTGGGTAGAACTTAGGATCTTTGGTGTGAACAGACAACCGATTTTACTGCTGTAAAAAATGTATGTTGGGGAGATGTTCTGACCAGCAGCAAGTGTCAGCAGCATGCTGCATGCTTTGTAACTGTTTTTCTGGCTGCTCCTATCCTGCAGTAAATGAAGTCAAACTGCAATGATTTAACCTGAATGAAACAGATAGTAAAGTGTTGTTGTTTAGGTACTACTTACTGTGAAATAGGTGAAATGTTTACAGTGGATTAATTTAAGTATCAGTGAGTCTTCCCTCCTGTTGTTAATCAGTATAACTGTTTTGTCTATCCAGATCTTTTTATTCCCAACACAGTTGTTCTCAAGCGAAATCTTCTTTACTGCGCTTTCACAGGAAGGATTTTACTGCATTTTCTCACACACACCTGAAAAATCAGCCCCCCAAAATTGGGGGCGGGGGTGTTTTAAGCAGGGAAAAGTGAATTTACCTCTCATATAACAAGTTTTTGGTATAAAAATGGTCATTGCATAAGAACAAATTTGCACATACAGAACACACATAAAGCAAGGGAAACCTGTATTTTCTTCTATATTTGAAATATGATCCACTACATTTATTAAAGCAAGCAACAGGATAAAAAATGAGTGAATATGTTTTGCTAGAGAAGGTTATGGAGCTATTTGCCTAATAGATTGAGCTGTATCATGTACATTGCAGGAAGTCACACATTGAGAGGTGTGATTTGAATGGACTGTACAGAGAAGTGATGGTCAAGGAGGATGTCTTCCAGCCACGAGGGATTGCTGTTCATCCACTTGCTAAGTAAGGTGTAATAAATGCTATAAATCAAAGAGTAGGTGATGCTGAAGGTAATTTCTAAAGCGTTATTTAATCAGGATATCAGTGTTTCTTCAGTCATACGAACTGAGTTTGTTGATCTCTTCCAAGGATATTTGTCTACTTTCCATTGTGGGCAGCGTCTGCACAGGACTGCAACGATGGATGTCATAGATGAAAACTGATTGAGTTGGGTGGTTTAAGCTTGCAGACGACCTGCATCCTTGTCTGTGGATTGGCACAGTCCTATCAGTCCTCCAATAGCTGGAGGACCCCATTAGAAGACTGTTCTTCAGCTCAGCTTCCATTTACCTAGTGTGTGTGGGAGAGGGGCAGGGGACAGGGGGAGGTGTATATGTATATGTATGTAAGTCTATATCAGTCTTTATGTTTGTCAGATTTGCACAGTCTATGTCTTCTCCCTGTTTTTGTGGGGAAGGAAAAATTCTGAACTTGTGGGAAGCTGTAACAGTAGGAATCTAGAAGTGTAGAACTATTTATTCCTTTTGGCTGCCTATTGTTACTTGAGGGGGTGGTCAGAGGACTAATTTTATAATAACTTACCATATTTACTCAAATATAAGATGAAGTGTTTTTCCCCTAATCAGCACAGGGGAAAAAAGGCTCCTCATCTTATATTTGCACAAAAGGTAACCTCATTAAATACATTGTCTATAATTAAATTGCTGCCAAAAGCAGCATGTGCTCAGTAATGGAAACCAACTATGAAGATGATTAAATGCAGCCAGCAGTGAGCATGACCATAAAACACATGGCCAATATTGGGCAAAGATGGTGACGGGAACCTTTTATTTGTGTGTGTAGCCCTCTAAAAAAAATTTAATAAAACAGGCAGGAGGAAAGGAGCATAGGGCCTGGAAGTACTGCAATACCAAGGTACTGTACTACCAGGTGAGCACTTGTAGAGGCCAGTGGTCCGACACCCTCCCCTGGTGCCAAAAATGCTTATAGGAACCTTTTTTTTTTTTTTTTTGGCCCTGAAAAAAATGGGCAGGTGTTCCCTCCACAGGGAACTGGCACTGGGCCTAGAGGTACTGCAATACCAGCACCAGCACCAGCACCGAGAGGGTCAGAGCCAGCCCTGACACCCTCCCATTGGTGCCAAAAATGTTACATTTGATTGGCCAGAAGGCTGAGATGCTGATGACTGGCGCTGGGCCTGGAGGTACTACAATACCTGACCAAGAACACTCAGTTCTAGTCATGAGAGGGGGGTCCACTTAGCACATGGCTCCCCTTTGGTGTGTGTGTGTGGGGGTGCTTCTGGAGCACATGCATGTCCTGAGCAGTGCTGAGCTGTGGGGTCATGACTGCTTGGAACATCGGTGATTCTGTTAGGGCCCAGCCCAATGAACTACATGGTAAATAATTAGCCATTTGGTTTTGAACTAATATCATGCATAGTTTGTACTATATATAAGTAAGTATAAAAGTGCTTCTTTAAAGTATGTTTATGGAATACCAGTGTTAAAACTTGCACCAGTTTAAAAAAAAAAGTAAAATACATCAGTTCTGAATGAACAAAGTCTATGGCTACCTATAGTAATGTGCATATAGACAAATTACTCCAGGCATGTTTATTTCAAAGTCAGTGTTTTCAAATTTGCTCTTCCATATGCTCAAGGAGAGCAGGGTCTGAGAGTTGGGAGGGGATACGGGGGCTAAAGGTGGGTAGAAGACTTGGGGGGCAGAGGGCAAAGGGGCCACCTGACTTCCCCCAATGTATTTCCCTTGCTGTAGTTGTGGGAAGGGGACAAATTCAAGGCAAACCTGCAATAATTAGTTTTTATACCTGGAAAATTATGACAAATTTGTAAATTTTCCATATACAGAATCTAATTATGGGGGGTAATAATATATTTATATATTTACTAACAAAATGGGAGAAAATAATTTCCTTTCTGGTTTGCTTACAAAAATGTGCATTTAGGATTCTCTGTGAGAGCAGTTATCATCACAATGCCTACTGAAGGAATCCCTTCATTTGTTATGGTTTGTTATAGCATCATTATCTCTTGCAGGGGAAACACATGGGCAACAAAACTGGGAGCTATTTTTTTCAAAGGTTTTGCTTCAAAAGGCAAAAGATAGGACTATATTAAAATCTTAATGTCAGTATCAAAAGGAACATTTTATTATCTGCTGTGTGCCTAGATTGCAATCTCCTTTGCTAAAACTCCAGAAAACTAGACAACAGTGAAGGAAATATATTTGTTTACCAATTTCTTGTGTGTTTTGCTTCCTGAAGGAGATTCTTCTGGACCGATTTGGGGCCCAATCCACGGATTGAAAGTTCTTCTCTAGAGGGCAATGATCGTCTGGTTATTGCTAGCACGGACCTGGTTTGGCCTAGTGGAATAACTATCGACTACTTAGCAGACAAGTTGTACTGGTGTGATGCTAAACAGTCTGTTATTGAAAGTGCAAATTTGGATGGTTCTAAACGACGAATACTTGCACAGAATGATGTAGGTGAGGTTTTGGGGTTGATGAATTCCTGTTATGCATCCCTATACATGTGTGTATGCATGCTTGTAGATATGAATGATGAGCCAGATTCTGCACTAATTTATAACTCATGTGACTGCATTACGATCAATGGGGTTGCAGTCAGGATAAGTCAATGCAGAATTCTGCTGATTCAGCAAAAAACCTGCCCGTTTTAGGCACCCTTCACTTTTAAAAGACTATTGTAAACTGAATACTGCACTGAATACTGTTCTGCCTCTACTAAAAAGATCTATCTCCACTTAGAAGGTTGTTTTTAATTTCTTAAGTAGTTGGTTAAGTTTAATTCAGGTTTTGCTGCAGACACATGTCATTGGAGCAATACCAGTGCAAGTGAGAAAAGAAGGGCATGTCTGTATTACCAACCTTTTGTGCCAGGTAGTACTATGATGTCACATGCCCTGTGGCTTCCAACATGCTAGCTCCCAAATTGAAAGCAGGGTAGCTGCATGTCACACACTTATTCTGCTTTACAGCTAATTAGCACAGCCACAGTGCTGAGCAAATGTGTTTACACTGCTTCAGGAAGTAAGGTATGCAGACCCGTATGCTTAAGTAGAACACTGCCTGACACATTAAGTTAGTAGAATAGACCTGTTGTTAGATTTTTATCTCTTTGTCTCAAAGATACTATGCCTGTGGAGTACTGGACATATGAGTGGCTTTAGATATGTGTCTCTTAACACAGAGGGTGTGTCTACATGAGATTTTTTGTGTGCCTAAACTTAAGGTGCATTAGCCTAATGTGTATTAAGGTGATTTAGGCATGTGTCTACATGTGCATGTGTGAAGGTGCATTAATGTGGGTGTGTGAACCAGCCTGGGACTAAAGTTACTCCCAAGTCAATGGACACACGCTGTGTCAATGAGTATTAGCATGTCTACACGTTCTCTATTGCAACTTGGCTATTTGTGCATAAATTTGATACCTGCCTTATGCAGGTATCAAATTTAGGCTTGAATAGCTTAAAATTGCCATTTTAAAGGTGCATTAAGGGCATGTGCATGTAGATGCGTGCCCTTAATTTGCCTAAATTGGGCTAATGAACATTAAATGTGCATGTGTAGACACATGCAGAGTATAGCTAATAGAAAATTTTTTATGGAACAGGATGGTGGTGATAGAGGTGGAATGTTGTTTGAGACAAGATAGCATCAGCCTGTGAACCAAGAAACAGAAGTCTCATTAGAAGGTAACTGGCACTGTACCATGAGTAGAATTAACCAGGTGTTCATGGCTAGGGACAGACATTCAAGAAGCCTGAGCCTGAATTGATTTAATCTTTGCAAGTTAGTCTAACCTGGCTAGGCTAAGTCAATTTTGTAACTAGACAGACATCCCAGAAATGCAGGCACATGCCTGCAGTGGCTCAGGCTTGAAGCTGGGGGTTGCTAGAGCAGCTGTCTGTTCCCTTGCAAAGCACTGAGATGAGGGAGTGGTGTGGCCAGGCCCTGCCAGGATGCTTTGATTAGGCCAGCAGAGAATTGATAACAGTGTTCATCACCTCACTAAGAAAATGACAGAGGGACATTACCTGTTGATTCTGCCTGTTTATTCTACTTGTTGATTCAACAGAAAGGGTAGTCAGCATGTGGTCTGCTAGATAATACATAGACACCTTCTTAGCAAGGCAGAGGGGAGCAGGGAATTCTTGCTTAGCAAGAAGGAGTGGTGAGGGGGAGGGGGGAAGCAGCCGGCAGTCTTGCTGGAGCTGCAGCCAGGGAGCAGAGGGGACGTGCCAGCCCTGCTGTGGAGTAAAGAGCCCCTTCCAACCCACAGAGCATGCTGGGATGTGTGGGGAGTCTGATTTATCTTAAACCAGCAAGGGGTCTGGGCAGACATTGCATAAACTGGTTTGACCCAAATCAGTTAAGTCTGATACTACATTCAACCAGGTTTATCTTACACTGGTTTCAACCATTTTCAAACTGGTTTATGTGCACTGAGCACCTGTTCTGTTATAGGTTTAAAACAGTTTCTGATCACTTAAACTTGTTTATGTGTAATGTCTGTCACTAGCCCAAGTGAATAATACTGACAGAAAAATTTGGTAGGAAAAGTTGATGATGTTAAACATTTATGCATTATATTTTACTAGTGACCACGTATATTTTGTAGTTTTGTACTCAAACCACAGGCCAGATGAGGTTCCAATGGAGCTCCATGGGTAATGACCACACTGCCACTTACCTCATGCTGTTGCTGTTCTATCAGAGATTACATTTAAGCAGCTGACTTACAGTCCTTGGTAGCTTTGGTTCTCTGGGGTGGCTTTTGTGATCTTCTGTGCCAGATTCCTAGTCACAAATTTACAAGCCAGCAATATTGAGCCCTTTATAGTCTGCTGCAAGTTTTACTCCACAGTCAGTGACAAAGGGGGAATGTTGCCTGGGAAGAGAAGCAAAATGGGACAAAAAGCAGCATCAGAAGCAAGCATTGGTGATGCGTAGGGGATGCATGTAGGTGCATGTCCACTCCTTATTGGCAGTGCACACCCTGAGACTGGCCGCCACTGACACTGCCGGTGGCACCTGTGTGCAGCCGCTACTTGCCACCCCTCCACCCCCTGCCACCTACACCACCAGCGGCATCTGCGGGCAGTCGCTGATCACTGTTGGCTGCTGCTGCCAGCAGTAACTGCAGGTGGTTGCTGATCTTCGGTCAGTACTCACTACCTCCTCCCCACTACCACTGACACCTCTGCAGCTGCCTGCAAAAGCTCCCCGCTCCCCGCCATCACACCCCCACCGCTGACACTGCTGCCTGCAGGTGGTTGCCATGCCCTGTCAGCCTCAGGAGGCACACAACATTCATGGAAACAAGAGTGAAGGAAAGGAGATGGGTCTGAGATGAGAGTATGTGTGTGGGGGAGCAGAGGGGAGAAGCAAACCAAGGTGCAAAGATGGGAGCGAAAGAGAGGAGGTGATCATAAGTCTTGAGTACAGGAATGAGAAATGAGAGATGTAACTGAAAGTCAGTGTGAGTGTTGTTATTGACCAGTCCAGCCAAGATTTCACTTTTGGTGTTACAGGTCATCAAGAAAGGAGGCAGAAAAGCTTGTCTTTAAATAAAGCCAATGGAATGTTTTCCTAGTTGATTTTCTTTTAAAAAATGTCTTCCTGCAAATGTGTGGCCAGAGATTATTATGTGTGTGTGCGTGCATGTATATATAGATATAGACAGATATATATAGATATCTATACACACACACACACACATATATAATTACTATACATTTTCAAAAGGCGTAATGTGTTTATGGGCACAGCTGCGCCTTGGAACGTGTCAGGCAAGATTAATACAGCATATCCAGATCAAATATAATTGCAAACCTAACCAACAGGATCTAAATAGATGTGCTTGACTGTAAGCACTTACTCTTATTACTGTAGCCCCACCTAGTGCCACTGTGGTTACAGCTCATTTGTGGGCAATGGGTGGAATTCATAGACATCCAACAGTGGCTGCATACGAAGCAGATTCAGTTTTCCTAGATTTGCTCTATTGTTAATCCTGTTTTGTAGGTCTGAGTAAAAGCAACTGGTAAGTGTGTGGTCTAATAGGCCCCAAAATAAAGAAATTTGCTTGTTTATGCAATTGGGATATATATAATCCTGCTTAGACATCCATGCAGGATGGATCATCATATTTTATCTTTGATCCTGTTTTTTCCTTTTATTTTCAATTTTTGAACTGGAATTATAAGTGAAGATGTGAAGGCTAAACTACTGATGTCAGAAATGTAAGGGATGCGAATTAACATAATTGGGATGTAAATTAACATAATTGTAATAGAAAAGAAACAGTATCTAGGGTACTGACATCTTAATCAAACTTCTTACAATGAAAGAATTGCAAATCATAAAAAAAGCCAGATACAGAGGATTTAAAGATGAGTGCAGAGGCGTCCCAAAAAAAAAATGAAAAGAAATTCAGTGGCCTTGTTTACAACTATGTATGGATGTCAGCATGTGTACAGCATTGCTACCTTGCTAGAAAGACATCTGTGTGTGTGGATACTTATTTTAGTTATGTGCTAAAGGTGTGAAGATTTAAGGCAATATATTCATAGCAGTATAATCCCCTGTGTCTTTTTAAATTTAGTTTATTCAATGCTTAGGAAGGTTATATGTCACTTTACCTGAAATGGTATAATTAGGAAAACTTTTCCCTATAGGCAAGGCTTTCCCCCATATGGAAAAACAAAAGTTTTCCTGCAAAAAGTGCCATTCACACAACAGCAGTGTTTTAAATTACAGAGGCAGAAATTGGGGTAAATTATTCAAATTATGGAAAAACCCAAGAAGAGGTAAGTGCATTTTGTTCTGGAAGCTTCCCGAATGAAAACTCCTAGAACAATCTGAAGGTTCTGTATGTATACATAGTCTTTGGGTTGCAATTCAGGATAGCACGGAAATGAGAGAATTGATTTCTCTAAATGTAGAGGCCTACAGCAAGCCAACACCAGTGTCTTACTTTGACATTGATATTAATTTAGCCAGGATGAGACAGCAGGGGTCAAACATGTCCCCTGAACTCTCCTGCATTTTTGTTTTGAAATCAAACCCTAATTTCTAAATTTTGAAATCTAGCAAAATTGTTGCATGGTGCACTTTTGAGCTAATGTGTGATGGAATGTCTTGTGTAGGCATGTGTATATAAATATGCAGGCAGGCACACATCCCAGTCTATAGGATAGTTAGCCCAACTCAGCTGTGGATACCTTTGCCATATTGGTAACAGCAGAAAGAAAATCTTGAGGGACATGGACCTATGCTTTCAAAGCAGGAAGATGTGCTAATACATCAATAAAAGTGCATGCATGGATATCTGTGTACTGCCACCCTGCTAGAAATATGGTTGTGTGCGTGAATACTTATTTTCGTCGTATGCTAAAGTTCTTAAGTTGGGCAATTTACTGTCTTCAACTTCTGATCTTTTTAATCACTTTCTAGGCAAGCCGTTTGATATAGCTGTGTTTGAGGATCACATTTGGTTCTCTGACTGGGATAAGCCATCATTAAGGAGGATGGATAAGAAGACCAGCCAAAACAGGGTACGTCTTCGAGGCAGCATGCTGAGACCCTCATCAGTGGTTGTAGTTCATCCTTTGGCGAAACCAGGTATACTGCAAAGTTACGCAGTCATTCCCTTACCAGCTTCCTTTTTTTGTTCACTGATGTCAGTAGAATAAGATATTCTTGGGTAAGAAAGTTCATCTTGTATGGAACTTTGAAAAGCCTCAAAAACATAGAGACTGACTTTTTGAGATCGTTGGAAATTTGTCATTGTTGTACGCTACTTCTTAACCCCATGAACTTTAGCAGATTTGTTCTCAGCTGGATGTATGCTTAGTTGGACATATAACTCCCACAAAGACAAAGAGAACTTTATATATAAGTTGCTTTCTTCTAGCTAAGGAGGTGCAATCTGTATCTGAAACCTGACTAGTTGCCCTAAAGCCATCAGACTTTTTTTTATAAAGCCCTCAATTAATTATTTTTTTAGCACCCTTCTAAACAAGTAACGCTATTGGATAGTAATTGAAAACATCTTTTAACATCCATTAGTTTGGGACTGAAACACTTGTTTTTCTGTAGGGGCAAACTCCATCCGGTAGGAGAATTTGCAGGAAACTTTGTCTACTGTGCCTGCCTTACTGAAGTGCCTATAGACTTCAGGTAGACTATTTTTCTAATCAGTAGTGATAGCTATGTGTGGGTGAGCTGGGTTTCACACCAGGTACTGACTTAGAGAGGATGCAGGATTAGCAGCTACCACCTACCCGGCTGTCATTGCTGTTCCAGTGCTGTTGCTGGCTAGGGCACAAAAAATTCTGTTCGCTGTCACAGTTTGGACCAGTTTTCCATGTCCTTCTAGAGGATTTCTAGATGTTTACTGAAAAATTAAAACACATATTTAATACCTATATCTGTATTTGCTTGAGAGAATGCAGTTTTACTCTCTACCACAGATCAAAAGAAATATGAATCCTTTATTGAACAGGTCTATCTGTTCTGTCAGCTCCCGTTTTCTAGATGCTCCATATCTGTACTACCAGCAAGATATTGGCTGCAGATTCCATTATTATTTGGCTGCTCCCTGCTGAAGAGCATGTATTGTATCTCTCCTTTAGGGGCAGATCCTTGCCTTCATGAAAATGGAGGCTGTGATCAGATCTGTGAAAACGGCTTTGGAGTTGCCCGTTGCTTGTGCCACAAAGGCTTTTTGAGAAAACAAGATGGGAAAACCTGTCAAGCTCTAAATACTGCTTTTACAACACCAGGTATGATGTTACTAATTTAAAAAATGTCTTTCAAACTGTCTCTCATATTATAGATGAATACTATATTTTGTAGTAATTTCTTACATAGCATTCATTTTCCTCTATAAATATTTCCTCACTGCTTCAAACTTCCCCTTCCTTCCCTTCTCCCACTCTGGGGTTTGAACATAGGTCAAATCAACATGGCTTCTGTATGATTTTCCATGTCATTTAACCTCTTATGCCTTGTTTCCCCATCTCTGGTAAGTGATAATGATGCTTGTCCACCATTATGCAGGACGTTTAGATCCATTGAAGCAAAGTGTATGTATGATGTTATTTAATGCTCTCTGTATGACAGAGCATCACTGAGTTTATAATCCAGCTGTCCCCACATACAGTTCCTGTCCAAACAGAATGATGAATACTATATATTTTACTATACTGTGTTTCATCTCTGCTTATTAGCAAAACTATTACATGATTACCAGGTTCTTCAGACCTCACAGGAACACCTATCTATGCTGAGAAATGTTCTGACATTTTAAGTCTTAAGGCCCTTGACACAGGTTACACTTAAGATGTGATTAACTAATTAATCACATCTTAAGTAGTGACCTGGCCACATGTTCATTCAACGGTATGATAAAACCAGGAATAAGCAACAAAGTTATTACATAAAAATATGTGTAATAATGTTGAGGCTGGTTCCTATTACTCCTTTAATTGAACATATGGCTTGTGTTCCTAGCCTCCAGAGCACTCTTGTGCACAGTAGGCTAGGAGAACTAGTCAGCTGATCAGGGCTTTCAGCTGGGGGGAGCACTATAAGCTGTCCTGACTGGGAGCCCCCATCAGCTGACAGAGCTCCCTGCCACTGGAGCACATGGTGCTCTTCTGCAGCTGAGAGCTTTCATGCACGTGTGGCATGACAGGAAGTGTGATTGCTGGGATCCTGCATCAGCTCCTAATGTGCCTTCTTTTTAACTTCTGTCACTGACCTAAGGCAATCTCTGTAAGTGCACTGAAGCATGTGAAACAACATTAGTGGTACCCTAGCATCAGTAGATGAGATATCTGAGAAAACTGATTATTTCAGAATGCACTTATATGTAAGGGTGATGTAGTACAGTAATGTCTGGAGAAGCCAACATGGCTGACAAATTAGCTGAGCAGGAAAAAAATACTACTTTGTTTCCACTGAATTCTGTTAACTGTAACTGTCAGGACACTGTTATATAAACATGGTCCTAGTCTCAAATGCAGGTAGCACCTGCATGTAATAGCACATTTCAAATGAAGAATTAGAATTCACAACATCTGGCTTGGAAAATAGAGCTTTCCCTTAATAAACTTAAAAAATCAGCTCTAAAAATTCATCCGCTAAAATTAAGCAGGAAGTCCTTACACACGAAAGCCCTGTAGGGAGTAATGATTCCTGTTCATCCACATTTATTTATACTGCAGAAATTGAGAAGAGCAACAAAGCATATGATCAAGCACTAGTATATATATAAAGAAGAGCACAATTCTTCACCACCCGCCTTAGGATGGATTAGACAAAAAACTTGTAGTCATGCTCACTTGAACAAGCTGCTGTCTCATGAAGGAAGTAATACTGTTAAGGGGAATTTTCAGTACACTAAACCTTGGGGAACTAACATATGTATCTGACCACTTTTCCTTAACGTATTGATATTGATGCTTATAAGAGCAAAGAAAAGTCAGGCAATGAGTTGAATTCCTTTCCCTTCGTATTTGAGAAAATCAGTCAGTGATGGCATGCTAGGCGGCACTGAGAATGCCAGAATGCCAACAAATTGATTTCTGAAAACAGAAAACCACAGGTACTCTGATTCTTGTGAAATTATATATGCATGACTAAAAACTGGAACTCTGATTTGATCTACTTCAACCTTTTCTACAATATTTTCTTAAGGAGTCTTTGTACAAAAAGAGGTGGAACCAAAGAATCAAACAACAATACTGGAACCCTTGTACCAGAGCCCACTGGATAGTGGGGATACTACCAGTGAGGAGAAGCAGCAAACCCAACATTTGCTGATGGCTGAAATCATGGTATCTGGTAAGGTGCATAGTTCCCTGGTTCACATGGGTTATCTCACTCAACTGAAGGTGCAATTCTGAGCAGGATAGAAATTAGCTTTTTTACTTGGATCAGAGAAGAGTGGCGGAGCTTAGAGGAAAAAGGGAAGTACATTAATCGGTAGCATTTACACTGAATATTAAACCAGCAAAGAAAAGAAGAAGAAAGAAAGAAACCTATATTATAGTGCAGGAATGAATTATATGAACTTGGGAAGTATGTGAGCACCGACAGTCATTATTCCTTAGGAGTTTCTCTTTGCTAGCCATTTCCCCCCTCAGATTAATTGTTACAAATATTTGTATTTTAAAAATCATTTCTCTGATGCAGTTAATGGTACTTTGGACTTACTGTAGACAAAAGGCAAAAACTTTGCCATGAAGTAAAAAAGCCGCTCTCTTTACTGTATGTTTGTGGCTCCTTAGTAGCTGCCTACAAGCAAGCTTTTAGCTCATGGCAAGTGGAAGCTAACCCACAATAATTTACCTCTCTTTCATTGAGTGCTAAGTTTCCATAGGTTAGCTTCTGCTTAGTGCAGGGTAACAGCATATACATGGGCAGTTACCACAGAACAGATGATATGTAATAAATCCTTACCCCTTTGTGGATTAGTCTCTACAATAAATCCTACATCACTTGGATCCAGGTGGTCTGGCAACCTGCTGTGCAAGTGGGTGGCAAATTAAGATGAACCACTCATTAGTTTGCTGCAGCTTTTACTTCAGAGGGCACTGTTTCTTTACTCCACTTCAAAGAGAGGTCATCAGAGGGTCCCATGCAGCTGGTCAGAGAAGCAGTGCTTTTTGAAATGAAAGCAGGAGCAAACAGCTGGAGCACCTCACTGGTTCTGTACAGCTGTTTACTGAAGCTCTATATGCGTTCATTCACTTTTTAACCTCTCATGTTTGCAGTGGGTTAAGGAATCTAACCTTGAGAAGTCTGTAGGTTCTACTGTACTTACTGCAGAGTAAGAGCATGCACACCAGCAGTTATCACAGGACAACTACCACATAGTAAATCCCTCCCTTTTTACCTTGTGGTAAAAATCCATATCCAAAAATAGTCTTGGGTTCAATACAAGGAGTACTTTTCCCTTAAAAGGCCTTGCTGCTCGAGCATGCCCTCTAGCAGTAATACAGTTTATTTTTGGAAAAATAATTATTTGGGTGGTAGGGCTAAATTACTTCCCTGAAAGACATTAACTGTAAATTGATTCAACACAGACAGAATTTGTCAGAATAGATACACGCAACAGCTAGGTGTGTAACTTTTTCACACTCCTTACTGACATAGTTATGTCAGCAACACTTTGTACTGTTCACTTGGCCTAAGATGAAGATTATTACATTTGTAGCCTGGAGCAAACTTATGAAGAGTGTCCACTGTCCATGCCAGACCATACAATTGGGTCAAGTACCTTCAGTTTGGCAATCCATTTAATCAAAGTAAAAGCATTTACTATAACCTCAGCTGACTCCTAGCCCAAACCAAGACCACTCTGTCCTTAATCATCAAACTCCAGTATGCTTATGATGCTGTAGTGTGTGCTTACTTGGAAGCAGGTCTTCAGTCAATCATCAATGTCTTTACCAAGGCATACAAGAAATTGTGACTGAAGCTTAACAGTCAGAAAACTAAGGTCCTCCATCAACAACCTCTTCATGATCAGTCCCGAGCTCTGGTCATTCAGATTTACAGCAAGACTCAGGACCATATTGAGTATTTTCCATAACTCTGAAGTCATCTCTTGTAGAAGGTTGACTTCAGCGAAGAACTCTAACATTGCCTCAAATGTGCAAGTGTAGCCTTCAGACACCTGAGTAAACGGGTGTTCAAAGATCGCAACATCAGGAAACCAAGCTCGTTGTTTATCAAGCAGCCATGATCTTCACCTTACTGTATGGAGCTGAGACATGGACAATGTATAGGAGAAGCCTCAAGTTGCTGGAGAAGTATCATCAATGCTGCCTGTGGAAGATCCTTCAAATCCGGTGGGAAGATAAATGCACAAACGTTAGTGTCTTGTTTCAAGCAAACATCATGAGCATTAGGGCTGTGTGAAGCTTTGATCCCTGATTCGATTCGGCAGAGATTTGGCCCGATTCAGTGGCTGAATCTCTGAATCTGAATTGAATCAGGAGACACTTTAATCTCTCCAAATTGAATTGGAACACTCCAAATTGATTTGGAGAGATTCGGAAAGATTTGGAGATTCAGATATAGACACAGCTTTAAATGTTTTTTCTACATACCTCAAGGTACCAGGTGGCTCATGAATGCTGTGATGCTGGGGTGGATAGAGTGTCCCACAGGGGCACTCAGTGTGGGAGGCTCCCCAGAGTGCTTGGCAGCAGACCTGGAAGTGGATGAGAAGCACTTCTGGTCCACTTCTGGGTCCACCGGAGAGCATGCGGGGGGCCTCCTGCACCCCTCCTAACTTAGCAACTGGTGCCTCCTGGCTCAGAAAGGCTCCTGGCGTCCCCCCACAGCCAATCGCTGAGCTGGGAGGTGTGGGGGGGCCTCCCAGCATGCTCACTGGTGGACCTAGAAGTGGACTGGAAGTACTTCTGGTCCACTTCTGGGTTTACTACCAAGCATGTGGTGAATCAGCATCGAATCTTCAGATTCAAATTTGGCCGAATTGAATCAGGAACAGTGATCCGAATCAACAAATCACTATCCCTGATTCGGGCCAAATCTAAATAGAATACGGCCCATTTCGCACACCTCTAATGAGCATTGAGGCAATGATCATCCAACATCAGCTTCTCTGGGCCAGCCACATCATCTAGATATCTGCTTCCAGACTCCCAAAGCAAGTTCTATTCTCCCAGCTCAGTCAAGGCATGTGCTCAAAGGAAGGCAGAAAAAGCGCTTCAAGCACATCCTCAAGGCCAGCTTGGAAAAAAATGCGACATCAACATCAACTCATGGGAGACTATCACCCAGGATTGCCCCAAATGGAGGAAGAGTTTGCTGCAAGGATCTCTGTACTTTGAAACCTATTACTGACAGTAGGAGATGGAAAAGTGGGAGTGGCAGAAACAGCATGTCGCAGACTGAATCAAGAATATGGATCCACCCACCCACACGGAAATATGTGCCTAAGTTGCAATACAACGTGTTGATCGTGGATTGGCCTTGTCAGAAATCTTTGACCCACAGATAAGGCAATCATGGAAGACAATCATCTTTGACTGTGAGAGATTGCTAAAATGATGATTTACTATAGACAGTCCTAAATGGCCCTGTGACAGAAAGTAGTGAATACTTGTTACAGTCTATAATTTTGCTTATTTGGGAAAACCAGTTGTTAAACACCATATATGCCTCATGTAGACAGACCAAGAAAATTATGTTAGCTGGTTGTTGTTATGTCTAGTGATGGTTACATGTTAAAACTTTGGCACTGTATGCAGTTTTGTTAAAATCCATGAGCTCTTTGAATCAGTAGAACTAGCGATGCAGTTAATATGACAGGTTTTAATTTTCTTTCTATGACAGATCTAGATGACTGTGCTGTGTTAGAGTGTAATACCAATGCCCAGTGTATCTCACTGAAAGATGGTGCTATGTGCCAGTGTTTGGAGGGATTTACCTGGGAGGGGAAATCATGTCTTGGTAAGAACAAAAATTAAATACAATTTTCTGGAAAATTATAGAACTGAAAGAGTTGCTTGCTTTTTGCCACATATCTGTTGCAAAAGCATCACAGAAAGGCTGATGAAACCATTTGTGTTTAAACGCATCATTTTAGTTGCAAAGGATGATCAACAGAGAACAAGTGAGATGAAATACGTAATGGTTACATAGATTATATTCCCTTGAGTCCTGAGTGCTAATCCTATTAATATTAATGAGTGATGCACTGGGAATAATAAAAACACAAATGTGTGTATTAATAAACTACATCTAATTATAAAAGCTCAAGGCACATAGAAACTATATTTGATGCATAATTTAGACCTGTGAACTGGGGATTCTTTTAGGCCTAATATAATGTTTATATTGTATTTTTATAAGAGCTCCTGTGTCTGTCTGTCTCTGCTATTAGAAAATGGTGTTAGGTACTCCTGCAATAAGACCAAGTATAGTACAGTTAACCCATTCTTGGACTTGCAAAAACAGCAACTGGAAGCACTTTGGCATATCACAAATGTCTAGGGGAAGAAAGGGACAAAAATAAAGCACAGACAAGCATTTGACTGGAAAACACAGTGGTTGCCTAGATCATTATTGAAAGAACAACAGTTGGGAAGAGAAACTGCATCTCACCACATGTGTTGAACCATTGCACCTTTACCTCTTAATCCTTTAGCCTAAATTACACC